TTGATGTATGGGTATGATATTTGACGCTGAGAAGTATTTCTCTTTTCAGAGTCATGTTGCACGAGTTCGATCAATACCTGTACATATATATATATATATATATTTATATATATATACGTCGATTTCCGTCAGAAACGAAGTGATCACATTAATGAATACAGCCCTTTGAGTTTACCGCAGGTCAGATTTTTCAGGAGACCCAAATATCTTTACCCCCAATTGATGCGCCAACTCACAGCGGACTCAATGTTTCCTTTTCGTGTACACTAGGAAAACAAATGTTTTTTATAATCAAAGATTGCCAATTAGGTTCACTTTAGCAGCTTCTTTTAATCTTATAACCAATATCCAAATCTAAGGTGCGTCAAAACGCAGTAAGAGTTCATGAAAACACACTTAAATTAATTTTACCCACTCCCCCCGTTAATCCGCCTCAGTCAATGAAATTTTGTCTCGTTAGCTCACATACGTTTTGTTCCTGGACCTCGGGAAACGCTCTGTTATTTTTAGTTACTCAATTAATTGTGCATATTGGTTGACACAATATTCATCATGAGCACCCTCAATTGTCTGCTAGAACTGAACACCAGAGTATCATTTGCTGAACGCATCCCAGTATCAGTGCNCCGGTCTGATTCCACGGAGAATAAATTTTGAACGAATAAATTTCAATTGTCAGCTCTACCCATAAGTATAAACTACTTGCTCCGGACTTTCACTGAAAACAAAACAAACACTACCAATATTTGATTAGTAATTCGTTTTCTTTCAACAAAAAATGAAAAGAAAACAAGGGTAAATCACTTTTATGCAAAGACTAGATGATACGGAAATGAGGCTGGGTAAGAGAACACATTTTCACACAGGAAATATTCGACAGCTACCGGTAAAATCAGAGCTAGAAACTCTTCCACAAAGTGCAAATAAATAATAAGTTCGTATTGGAGAAAACATGGAACTTGAACGTTTTTGGCTGTGGAAGAATTAAAGACAAAAAGAAACGGAATTACTCTCTGATTATGTTCACTTAACTGACACGATCTGAGTTTAGGCCGTTTGTCACTTACAGTTTTATTAAATCAGTGACATTTATTCTAGACACGGGGTTCGTGTGAAGGTATGGGTTTGTTTCTATATCATAAATACTTTAAGTTTGCATGATGGTAACCGGGGAACATAAGTTAATTTGGAAGGAATTGTGTTCAGACTTAACCTTGAACGCTTAAAACTTTAGTGGCAATTACGGTATGTGAGGCGAGGAGACCGAGGAGGATAAGTAGGCTGATTGTAATGACCAAAACAAACTGGGAGAAAACCTAAACCCCAACTGAAACATTCTTTACCGTAGAGGAGATGAAATCCAGTTCGAACAGTCATACTGAAATAAGTGAAATTTCTGGGTGAAAACAGTGGTTTCAGATTGGGACATTGATGTGTACGTTACAATGAAAATCGCATAAACTAACTAGTTTGGTGCGTCGACAATTTACTAAAGGGATTTCAAATCAATTTTTTTGGTCCTTACGCGGAGAGAATTACTAAAATGGTCCCACAAACGCCGTGAACTCTTCTCGTTACTAGAATAATTAAATTATCAAAGGGACCGGTGAATAATTACCTGATATTCACAAGTACATATTGTTGAAAAATCGGGCAGCACTATTGCTCATACATACATGCATTATCTTGATTATTAACTACCCCGGCAACTTCAACTCACTGTATTTCACAGGCTACAAGGTAACTGAATCACCAAATTCAGTCCGTCCAAACTAGGTTGAATTTTTGTTACTCACACAGTATAGATGAATACAAGAATCTGAGCCCAACCGATAGCCGATCGATTTTACCGCATGAGGTAGTTCCAAATTTCGGCACTTACCATCGCTGCAAAGGATCCGTAGAGCAATAGGAAACGGAATAGAACGGATAATGGCGTCGGAAGAACAGTTTCCGCCAATTATCCGTCACTGTGAGCCCATCCTGTGAAACTTTAATAGTGACTTCGGTTTGCTTAACCTGTGGAACGAAAGACGAAAATCGTAAGGATGCATTAGAACTGGAAATCGACTACTTATAATGTAGGCCTCTGGGGCCACTCGCTGTGGATCACAAACCGAATTTGCACCATTTAAATTGGCAGTTTGCACGCAGTTCTGAGCTACTTTTGTGGAGGATCATAAACAAAGATATTCATTCATCTCCAATGAAAGCCAACAGTGAATATTCAAGAAAGGGGCCCGCGGCAAATAAAGGATAGTGCCAGGAAAAAATCCCTAATCCCTGTCATCTGCACATCTTTTTCGAGGAAGAGTGGATATGATGTCATCTAGTGCTCACATGCCTTACATAAGAACTGAACATTAAGGATGATATGAATTTTCCCGCATAGTTTAATTCGTTTGATTTTAATTCCGTTTTCCCTTTTTATTGAATCTCACTGATCAGGAGCCCTAAGCGTTCGATTGTATACTTTTTAAACTATTGGACAAGGAGCGGTTCACAAATAAATGCCACATAGTACTTATGTGAAGTAAGCTCTGACACCAGTGCACTCTAAATGCACTCAAAACGGTAATTCCGACTCATCATCCGTTTGTTTTAATTATAAACAAATTCTAACCGGTATTCACACCGTTTCAAGTGGGTTGAAAATAAACGACTTGGTCTGTGGAGTACGGTAGTACGTATTTTGTTCCAATCTGTCTCGTTGATCACTTTGTTTTGTATCGACCATATAAACATAGATTCTTTTTAAACCACTCTTAAACAACATATACTGACCCAAACGATGATCATCCAAACGGGTATGTGTTGTGGAACATTGCAATGACAGTGTAAGACTCAATTGTTTTGGTACCCTACCGAGTGATTCAGTAGTTCGGTAGGTATAAAGCAATTCTGCGCTGATTAGGTCTGGTTGATCACGGGAAAGTGTGATCAACATCGTGTCAGACTAACAAATCACGTGAGAGAAAATTGGTAGCGGAACGATACTGGCAGTCGGCCAAAACCGACAGTTATGTGCATGCTAGAAGATGCATATGATGGAATAAAACAGATGCATATAAGGAGCAGTGTGGCGGGNGCACTGCTGCCATTTTGGCCGATCTCTAGGGTAGTGCACTCCTCGTCAATAATGATAGTGCGACAAATCTGCACTTATAAATGATACACTAGAGAGCATTATACAACTTTATTATGAGTACTATCTGGGTGAGCAAACTGTTATGTTCTGTCGAGACGCACGATCGACACGAGCCCCTCTTGCCTAGTCCCCAACAGTAATACGGGAGAGATAGAACACATCTGGAGAACTAAACTAACTCTTCTATGATCATGATGCTTTACGCAAATATAAATGGGTAGATTGGGCTTACGCACTAATCAGCCGGCGTCCTTGACAATCCGATTGGTGGTTCGGACGACAGCTGTCTGATTCGTTCTATCCATCCAATCCGGAGTCGACTCACCTTGGGCATTGCGAGCGTGCTTGTGGTGGGACGCGGATTCGTGAACGGATTGACGGGTTATGTGAGTTCCATCCTTGAGTTTGACTCGTAGGGTTTTAATCGTGGGTCGACTTGCATGGGGGACACGAATCTGTGTTTTCGCTTCGCCCGTCTCATCGTATTGTTTCCGTGATGTACGTGGGATGGACTTGCTATTGTGTTTTGGACTGATGCTGACTCACAGAGTTCCAGTAGGATGCTTAGTGGTAATTCATCTGAGTTATCCAGTTTGGGCCAGCATTTGGTTAACATGTCTCACCCAGATGTCCGATCCAACTTGGACGTCATATAATACGTTTCCGTCTCGCCTTCTAATGTGGCCCGTCGCTCATTTTGGGTAATTGATACGATAATCTCTCACCGGAACATTTTGGCCAACGTGAAATGTTTGTCGACGAGCACCATGTCTCCAGTTGAACTGTTGTTCCATTTTAGTGTTTCGAAACAGCGTTCGTTCCTTTGGGGTTTGATAGCATCGTGTGGTACCCGAATTTTGAGTTGAAACAGGATCTCGGCTGGGGACACCGCGTTCGGCGTTTGAGGATGCGCGGTTGTGCGATATGTTAGGGAAAGTTATCGATGTTCCCACCTCCCCAGGGTACCTTCTACTTTCCTCTTTGGAAGTGTCGATTTGAAGGTATCCACAAGACATTCGGTCAATCCATTCGATTGGGGATGGTAAGGTGGAGGTCGTAGGTGGACGATAGCATTCCGCCGCCAAAAATCATCGAACTGTGAGGAAGAAAACTGGCTGCTGTTGTCCGAAACCAACGTAAGAAGAACACCGGAGAGGTGGAATACTTGTAGAAACGCAGAAATGGTGGTGCCTGCTGATGTTCTTAGCACCGCAAGCACTTCAGACTATTTACTATGGATGAAAGTCAACAAAAATGAGGAAATGAAGACCATCAATGGAACCGGCGAAACCAGCACGCACTCTGGACCAGAGTTCCACAGTCAACGGCCAGGACTGCTTTTCCGTTTTCCTTGGTTGTTTTGATGCCAGAGCATACGGAGTACAATTCATGGTCAGCTGTTTGATTTGAGCGTCCATTTGAGGTCAGTAAACGTAACTTTGTGCCACGGCTTTCATGCGATTCATCCCAGGATGACCATTATGGAAGTGTTAGAGGACTCGGCTTCGGAGGCTGATTTGGATAACAATGAGGTCTGAGAACAAAAGGCAGTCTTTCACTGTGGACAGCACTTTTCATCTTTGGTGGAGTTGCTGATGTTCGGGTGAGGTAACCTTTTTGACCAACCGCTGCGATGAAAATTAATTGCTTGCTTTGGTATCGGGTCAGTGGGAGTAGCTTCCTGAACCATGTTAAACGTCACCTGTAATGTTGTCAAATATTAACGATCACCTGGTTTATATCCGGTTCAACTGAACTTTGGGCGATAATCATATCTTTGGCTTGTTGGCGCTGCGTACTAATTAGGCGGGACAGTGCGTCCGCTTGGTCAATGTTGTTGGTAGATAGATTTTTAATGTTGTAACCGATTAGTGTCGTAGCCCAGCGTCGAAGTCGGTTAGCAGTGTGAACCGGAATGCCTTTCTTTGATCCGAAAGCAGCAAGTAGCAGTTTGTGAAATAGACTGACCGCAAATACAACAGCTAGGGCCTCCTTTTTATTTGATCATAGTTACGTCCTGCTTTCGTCATCGATCTGGGGGCATGTGCAGCAGCGTTTTGCGAACCGTGAGGGAAAACATGTGATATACCTGCATCGATCCCTTTATTTGACGCCGCCGCAGCAACAACGATCCCCACTTTAGGATTAAAGTGCCTTAATAGCAGGTCAGAAGACAGTATGGCTTTAAGACTTCCAAAAACATTCTGGCATCCCCGAGACTAATTTGACACATATTTAGGATTTTGCAGTGGATACTCTAAAATAGTGAACATTTTACATCAATCCACTGATTTGTCAAGGTTAAATACTGTTCTACAGCTCTCACATTATAAGATCTTTTTGTTTTCAAGCGTAAAATCCAACTTCCGGCTTTTGCTCCTTCCATGAGGAATCGTTACAAACTGCTATGAAATAGGANGTCACCATAATAAGCCTCATGTTGGCTGGCGGGTGGCGCTAAGACAGAGTTCCATCAACAGAATGACCATTCTGTCTATTTTTCTCAAATAAAATTCGCTCACTCTTGGGAAAAATCGATAAAGCCCACAATATGGTGCATCAGAAACAATGCAAAGTGTGAGAGGCATTTTACTCCAGGAAAGTTGGTTACACCCAGACATTGAGGGCGATTTCGTTGGAATGAACGGTCCCGATGTTTTCAAGTGAAGTTCCGCAACAGGAGTCGCGGTGTGGTCACTTACTTTAACCGAAGTTAGTGTCCCAGTAATCAATTAGTGTTTAACTTCCAAACCGGCAAAATAAATTGTACTTTCGGTCACTGCATGCCCCGCTTTCTCAGCAGATTTGGCTTTATCTCCTTGTTGAATATATATATATATATATATTGTTCCTGATGCACCTGTCTGTGATGTGACACTGTTTACTGATACTATAGTAACACAATTGGCCACTTGTGTTCATCAGTCTTTGTGCATTACCGTTGGAGACTTTAATCGCTTTTATACTTCTTTCCAAACTACTCTAGGCTTGGTGAACCTTGTCAATTTTCCCACTGTAACTAATACTTATCTCATTGGCATATATGTAAATAGTCCCAAGTTGTTTCATGTTCTTAAACGAGCTCCGATTAACACTGCTGATTACTGTACCATTCCTCTCTACCCCCGGATATACTGTAAACTAACCATTACATTCATAACCGACCCACTTCGCATACGCTACGGAGAGGAAATTGTTCCCCTGAGAACTTGTTCAGGCTCCCGGACTTAGTTTCTTCTACCGACGTTTCGGTGTTTTCCAATAATCAGCTGTCTTGAGAACATCTTACTGATTATCTTAATTTCTGCTATGACCAATGTTGCCTAGTCGAAAGTAGTTATATTCGAACTGATGGACGTCATTGTGCTAAAGAGACGGCTTACAAGACCGGTAGGCGCAACAGTGTAAATGATTTTTCCGTGGACTACCCTGAGGGAACCTGTGGTCCACGCATCAGTTCTTGTCCGAACGTTGAAGTACTAAATCATCTATTCGCTTCCATACCTGCCTCAAGCGCCCTCCCACATCCTAGTCCAACCCATGGACATTTCATCTACTTTGATTTATAGATAGGCGTCCGACAGATCGAGCTTTGTGAAGTAAGAGCCACCATCGAGTCTGGCAAATCGGTCTTCTGGAACTGGCAATGGGTATTGATGCATGCTCGAGGCTGCATTTAGCCCAGTGGAATAGTCTGCATAAATGCGAACCTCGGGTTATTTTATGACAACAATGGGGGATGCTCATTCGGAATAGTTTATATGTTAGCTAACACCTTGCTCCAAACGATTTAATGCGACCTCAACGAGGGGAAGGTGCAGCATTAGGTACAGGGTTTAGGGGACCGAAAAGGGCTTTGCTCCTCGATCAAAACCAGTTTTGCTGTTGCTTTCGGGTATTTACCCAAGTCATTTTGAGGCGTTGTTGGAAATTTGCTTTGAAACTGGGTGAGCCAATTTTTGTCTGCGTCTGCTATTAAGCCTTTAACTCTAAATTAAAATTTGTTGCCAATCTGATTCAATGGAGCGTTCAAAAGTTGCAGGTCGTGAATCCAATTCAGACTAACTATTTTTAAGTTTGGCCAGTAGCATGGATAGGGTCAACAGAAATTTCATGCAGGAACTCACCAACAAGTTTCATTTGGCTTCACGAAGCGTTAAGTGCTACGTGGGTTGTTGGTTAGATGGATGGTGTTACAATAGTTCTCCAGGTTTGTGACGAAATTATTGTCATGTCAGAAGCAGCGTCTAACTGAAAACGCACTGGTTTTCCATTTATCGACACTCTGATAAACTTTCTGTCGGTCAAAAATTCGTCCGAAAGAACAACTTTGACCCTGCTGCGATTGCTAGGTCTTCTATGGCTCCTTGTTTTCTTGCGGGTTTGTACATGCTGAAGTACGTTTCTCAATCTGCAATGTGTTTTTTGTGACCACGAAAGCAAGCTACTGAGCTCGGTATTTCTTGATCCAGTTGTTTTATATTTCCCATTCAACACAGTGACGCGTGAGTAATGGTGATGTGGATAAATGATATTGATTTGGATTGCTCATCTACGAAATCTCTCCTTCTTGCCTAAAAGTGGGTTCTTCTGATTAGTCATACACTCGGGAAGTACTGGACTTGAATTTAGCTTATCTTATCACAGTTCATCTGTAGTGTATGTTCACCCGCCCGTTCGGGTTTAGCAGCTACCATGTCTCTCGTGATTGCTATCGGGCGAATTCACAGACAGACGACCATTGAAGACGAGTTCCCAAACAAACGGAAATCGGTAATTTCGGCCCTAGTACAGAAATAACACACCTTCCATGTGGTTCGTTAGTTTTTCTAAAGCTGTATGGGTGACCAGACATGCATTACTGAAGAGCTTTCATGAGATGAAAACTGAAGTCTGCTGCTTTCCCAGTGTAATGTTGACTGTAACCGGGAGATCAAAGCAGCGTTCCACAATAATATGAATGGGCGCCAAGTAACTTCATGATGTGTTATCAAATCAGTCGCTGATCAAGACCCACTGTGCATAAATTCCCAGGGAAGTTTATTTATTCCCTTCAGAGGCAATATAGGTGCATGTTCAAATACACCTCTTACCTGGGAAGCGTTCTCCAACAGAACATCAACTGCCTTACGAATGGCTCCGGATCCAGTCAGATTTTCCGTATCGATAGTTCCCAAATAGACGGAAATGAAAGCTGGAAACAAAGGAAATTGAGAACATAGGTTAAGGTGGATAACGATAGAGCTAAATAATTATTTTTTATCGTTTAAACCACTCAGAAGAATGTAATCAGTGCCGGGGTAGACCGAAGGGAGGGAGGAAGCTGAGAAATGTGGAATTGAGTAAGAGTAAGAGTGAAAGATGAGATGGCTCCGTGTTAGGGCAGCGGCAGGGGTAGTGGATGCGATGGTTAGTGGAAAATAGCAAAATGCATGTGCATGAGTGAGTGAGTGAAGAAAAGGATCACCTTGCAGAACTAAGAGTTGTGAGAAAGGATGAAAAATGAATGGTACACTACCAAAAGAGTGGATTGTGACATGTCACGTCACTCAGTTATCACGGAAAACCATCAAATTGGTTGAATTATTGTTCGATTGGATAATGAAGAAAGAATGATGCAGACGTGTCTCACCTTTGGTCAGTGCTCGCCAATGCGGGACAGACCTCGACCTGGTGTGATCTCGGAATCGAAAAGAAAAATAGAAATAGAGATAATCCACTTAAATTACCGCTCGGCTGAACTTAAGAGTAGAGTGTGAGGTTGCTGCGGCCATGGGACTGGGTGGATGCGGTTAAGGAAAGTTGTTTTAAATGTATCTTTGTGGAGGCTCCAATTGGGCATTCAAACAGGCCTCTTACACATAATGTCTATAACAACAAGTTAAATCAAGATGAATTGATAATGGTCGTGAAGCTTTTTCGGCATTCGGCCTACAAACGGGTGCATTCTTTGCTTGGTAACACCTTAGGTAAGTACAACCACAGCTCGTCACTGAAGCAGAGCGAAAAAGACATTTATGATGATTTTTAATGACCGATTAGAAGCTATGTTTGCTTGTTTCACTGGGAATTGGTTATGAACCAGAAGAAAACACACGACATTGACGAGTGAGAAATCAGTTTCGAATGGGGCAAATCTCAGATTATTGTGTAGAAGGGTTTCGAGATTATGCATATTAACTTTCTGGGAATAGACCACCATTACCGGATTTTGTGCCGGATGAAAACGAGAGAAATTCTCAAATTGACTAACCTGACTTTGCACGAGAAGGTTGATAAACTTAGTGAGACAGGATGAAAAAACGAGCACCAGAGAGCATTTCCCAAGAACATAATAAAAATGGATGAACTAACTGGCATCTTTGTGAATAACAACTATACTCTAAATTATCCCATCCCAAAGATGCAGTTTGCAAGCAATGATAGACAGGTTATTATGACACAGCAGAGTACCTAGGGGCTTGCAAGAATAAACGGGTTTGTGCGGATGTGTTAGCAGCATTGCAACATTCAAGCCAAATCAGATAGCCAACGAGCTGAGGCAATATTACCTCTGTCTTTTACCTCAACGACGAAATGTTTTGCCTGTTCAGAGTTTGAATGGCATTCTAATAAATTAAAAAAGCTGAAGAAACAGAGTTATGTTCACAAGAATCTCGCTGCTTATGTTCATTTTGAAATCTCAATATCTGGGCTCAAAACCCCGGAGAGTTACCGGGTTGTGAAAAATAACTACTCACTGGGGAGTTTGTCAAATATTCTGTCATGGAAACTAATCCAAAAATCGTTTCGGCACTAGATCTAAGTACCTAAATAGAAAACCTGACGTATCTGGCTGGCATAGGCACACAATGCTTGGTAAACGACAAATGGGACACAGATCGAATCAGTTATTGCTTAGGGAAGCGTTCTGGAAAACCTTCAACCATGAATATAACAAAACAAAGATTTAAATAAATCATGACGTACTACGCCACTTGCCACTGCTTATCATTGCTGACGGAGCTGGAACCGGCCCATATTCGGTCTCATAGGCTGATGTGGGTGATCGACCTCGCGGAAATGGCCCACGAGCGGGCTCCAAAGCGTCCGGAAAACGACCAGGTGGATATTGGCCCGGAGGTAGAGGTCCGGCTGTGTGCGTACTATAGAATGTCCCTGACATGCATGTATCTGATGGGAGCGGATCAGACGGGTGGCGCGTCAACGTGCCACGACGTATGTCTGATCGGCCACGTCCAGCAGTTGGACTGTCTTCAGCTAGTTGGAAGAGAAATAAACAGAGATTGCAATCACTTTGGTAACCCAAGGTTATTCATGCACCTGAAATCCCTCTACCTGTTTTGCTATTCATGGATCCCATTAACCTATATCAGCAGATTTAATTATCGTCACAAAACAACAAGTATAGGCCGCATTCCGATGAGATAACATTTGCGAATCTACGCACATAGAGACACAAAATCAATCAGTTACGCTAAAACAGCTTATACCCGGTACCGAATGGTTGGTATTCGAACAGGTACACGAAGCGCACTTTCCGACTTTCGATCATTCTCCCGTGGAGATGAACTGATTGTAATTTTTATTTTAGATTGCCTCCCGAACAGGAACAGGTGGAGTCTCGGCCAGCGTAATTCATAAGTCTAATCCCAAACAGTCCAAGGAACGGTCCGTGCTCACATGTACATGTGCGCCTGGTTCATCGACCCATCGTGTTGACTCGGTTTCCTACCCAACCAACCGACGTCAGACTTCACTCCATCAACTGTCAAGGACACAATGTTATCAAGTGACGGACAGCTATGTAGATCACCATGAAAGTAACCCCACAACACACATTTCCAAAGTACTTTTGTTTGTTGATGGAGACATCAGTTCCTTCCGAATGGATGAACGTTGTTATACACTGCCTGTCCAAGTTGTGACGTGTGGCTACAAAACACCAATCACATTGTGACGTTACTACAGTAGACCGCAACTAGTGGATATACTTGCATTTACAACAGGTTCACTTGAAGTTGAAAAAGTAAACAGATGTTGATAATTGGCCGTTGCACTTGGAACGAAGTGATGTACGTGCCGGTGTATCGATTTAGAGTAACATCCAAGTTGTATTGGTTTTTACAATACCAGAGCCTTTCTGTTCTAGCATAACAGCTTATAAGTTCGTCATTCGTCTTTGGAGTCATAAGCATTGAAAGTCTGATTCGCGAGTAGTTAGTGCAGTTGTTCGAGATAGTTGTTTATTACCTAAAAACGCTATCGGAAAGTTTTGACGAACTTGCATGTTTCGTGTCGGTTGGTCTATACCATAAGAGAAGTATTACAATTTTTAATGATGTGAAGTAAATGACTTTTGCATTGGAAAGTCTATCAGTAAAGATCGACAAACACTAAATAGAGGACTCCAAAAACATATCGATTCAAATGTGAAGTGATCACTTTATTTCAGAGTAATATCTCGCTGCCAAAAGATGATTTTAAACAAAACGGAGTGGCGAAAAAGCTCGTTTTCAGTCATTCCTAATGATTCCAATACGTCAAGACGTATATCACTAATTACCGATAAAATTGTCTTGGAAAGAAAACGAACGACATTATCGATTACAAAGATTAAGTAGATCAGAAGACCGGAAGTAGGATTCACAATGATCACATAGTTGTGTTGTTCACTGATGCGATCGGATGAAAATTCGTCTGCACAACCCTCCCACCCCCCACACCTTGTGCCGAAAACAGTTTATCCAGGCGTTTAAGCTTCGCTAGACCACCCAAAGCACCTCACATAAGGAGTAATCTTGAAGGTTGTATAGATACACGAATAACTAGAAACATTGTGAATTTCACTTCCAGTCTCATGATGAAGTCAATGCTGGTAATCTGTGATATGAATATTTTCCTCAAGAAAATTTGAATTCTAAGCAGTGATATTTATTGTGATTTGCTGTCATGATCACGAATCGCTGAAAAGAAGCTTGTTCGCCAGTCTGTGTTCCGTTTGAACTATGCTCTCTGTGGGACTAATCAAATAAAAGATGATATGAGGGTTGAGGAAAGGTTTCCGGATACGCAGTACACTTTCGAGGTGAAGGTAATCGGACTAGCAAAACATGGACTGTAATCCATTGTAAACATTCTTCGACGATTAAAACTTACAGAGCCAAAATAACAACAGCCGGGCACAGCTCACAAGTCATAAGGGTCGCTGTACTTGGACTGTAAGTATGAAACTTGGTCGATGTCACTGGAGGACAATGATTTTCTACGAATTTTCTACTTATACATTCTGCAGCAGTAGAAAAGTGTTGAACGTTTGCGATTTGTCTGTTGTGATATTGCGCCTTCAAGCAGAATTGCACTTGAATGGTTTGTGGAGTTTAAGCATGACAGGCAGTCCTTGGATGACCATACATTGTGTGGTCGACCTGTGGAGGCCACCACAGCGGACAACATTGTTGCTGTGCAACCTATGGTGGAGCAGGGTGTGCAGATGACTGTGGCACAGCTGTGGAAGGCCATCGGGATCTCATCGGGATCAATCCGCACCAGCCTATATGAGAAGCTCGGCCTCAGAAAGGTTTGTGTACGCTGGGTGCCCCACCGGCTCACTGAGCAACAGAAAGCAGTTCCGGGGTGAATTGGTGCCGTACCATGCTTGCCAGGTTTGATGGTGGACGTTCCAATGCAGTTTGGGAGATCATTAGTAGTGATGAAACCTGTGTGTTCAGTCATCGGCAAATTTCTGGCTAGCGAACGCATCTATGAGGTTTGTCACCCACCCTACAGTCCAAACCCGGGATAGTACAAAATATCAAAATAATTAACAATGGGCTAGAGCGTTTTAACTGCACTCGACTGTGCGGTTATGAATTCTGAGACAGGAATAGTCATATATCAAAATGTGCCAAACAGAATTTCAGTTTTGTGGCGATAGTTGAAAACCGGCTTTGATGCACCACCACACGCGCTGATGGTGCAATAAGATCGGACGGTACACACTATTATACAGTTTCCAGGCTACCAGTCAGAGAACAGAAATGGCTAACAATTTAATGAGCCGGAGTGTAAAAAGTCGAATTGGCTGGCTTTTAAAAAACATTTTTCATTACACATCTAGGTGTGATGAACAGCAGACGGGGCGAACAGCATTGTCACGAGGACCTGCTATTCAGTGATCGAAACCGGCAACCTAAGCTCCGGGACTTGGGTTGGCGAACCACAAAAGGTTCCGATAGGTTACGCGTGCTATTGAATCGGACGACAGCAAAGCTGTCTACCACTAAAGTTGGGTAGTGGTGGCGGGCTCGAACCACGGACCACAGGGTCCAAAGCCCGTCGGTGACAGCGACTAAACCACTGCGCCAATGCCAGAAAATCGTACCCGTGACGATTGGTCAAAGGAGATTCGGCTAATAACTGGTTGACAATCATAACATTTTTCGTTGCGTGCTTTTCAGAAAAGAATTAACTTTTCCACAGCTCGCCTTGGTTCCAATTGACTTTACGCTATTCAGCGGATTCCCAGTCCGATTCCGAGTTTGCATTGTTTGATTTTGTAATCCAGAATTACGGTTTTCCTCTGACTGCACTGACTGCAGCACAGATACTAGGGATATTCTAGGGACAGCCGTTTTTTGTCCAACGACATTCTCGATCACATTCATGAACTTATTAGCTAGGCTCTGACAACTGAAGTGAATCAGTTCAGATTTCTTTTGGATCGAGTATTCTGCCTCAGAATGTGAAAACTCCCGATTTGGTTTTTCCTCATCTCGATTACTGAGTGCATGCTCAGTTTCATCTTGTGATGGCAGGTGGTACAAAGAGAACCCCGGCTAGCAAACGGATCAAGAATAGGGCCCATCCAACCAGATGCGCAGACGTAGCTTCTGGAAGTACTTCGCGAGACGATGTCGACCAACACTCGAAACGAACGAATCAACAATTACAGCCCGACGGACAATCCGAATCTAGCCAGTAAGATATCCACCGACTACCACAACGTCGGAGCTGTCGATCAACTTATCTCGCACTACGATCTGTTCAACCCAGTCGGAACGACACGCGGGAGAAGAGGCAACGTACGTGCCAAGTGCGGACCAAAACCAACAGGTGATGGCCAACAGGATGAAGCATGAATCATCCTGCCGCGTGGTTAAGAATTGATTGTACACAATTGAACGCCTACACTAGCTGTTTTGAATTAAATCAATAAACGTTTTGCCAGCCAATTCGCCTTATCGTTACAATCTGACCTGGTAAGCTTGTGAGTAGAATTCATGTGGGACTTTAGCTTTTTTCGTGGTATTTGACGTCCTATTAATATGCAATGACTGATACGTCCGACTTTCCTCGTTCAACTTTTGTTCTACAATACAATCAATTTCAACATACCTTTGGTGGCAACACGGGAGGCAAAACAATGCACAATTTAAAGTTTGATAACGCCAGTTGATTGCTTGATCGTTTCTCGACCTAGAATTCATCTTTAAAAATGTTGCCATTACATAATTACAAATGAAATTAGAAGGTATAAGCCTCTGGTCAGAACGATCCGCCTTCCGATTATAATTCCCCAAAAGGATTGTTGTATTGCATTGAGTTGGACGACAAGGAATTCACAAAAGGATAAGTCGGGTGACGGTGTTTGACCGCGCAACATAAGGATCATCATATTAAACAGTCCTAAGATTCTTGATTTTGAAAGTTTTGGGTTTTACATGAACTGAATTTGTAAAAGCAATGACTCAACTTCCGGGATAAATAATTTACACTCGAAATTGCCTGCGGGTTCGGAGTCATAGGCTAGATGGGCTCAGCTTATAGTGCCGCATACAGCGACAAAATTGGATGTGTTGTACATAACTGATTGTCAAAGCGAAACAGTACCAAGCATTCGCAGGAAGCGCTTACCGGAATGGTGCACACCGAAAGGCGGGGGATGCGGTCGACCAGGATGCGCCAGTCGCTCCGCATGTGCGGCCCGAGACAGCGCAATCAATGACGGAAGATTACTTGAAGGTGTGGGGGACTTGAATGGAAGTCGCAGTACGCAGGGCAGCGCCAGGGGTTGAACCACATGCTCGTATAAAAGGCTAACTAAATTGGTAAATATGGGCTCGTTTGCACAACCTCGTAATCGGACAGCACCGTGGATCACACTCAATGCAGTTGGACCCATAGGAACACTGGAAGGAGCTAGTGAAGCGGCCGTTACCCCAACTGCTTGGGACATCACAGTGGCACTGGACGGTAGGCCTTCGACCAAGTAGTGTCGGACCAGGTCATTCTCGTCCGGTGGACCTTCGTGAGTTAACATGAGGAGTTCGAAAACCCAAGATTGATTTTAACCATTGAGGACAAAATAAGTAGTCAAAAGAATACCACAAAAATGCGACAAAACCAACTGTGATTTTCACATTTTTTGTGGTACATGGCAATACAAAACCTCGTAGGGGAGTGGCATGTTCCCGAACAAGTGGATGAATGGTTGCATTTTTTTTATTCAACAATAGGTATGCAATTTTTTGTAATCAGTAAGTCTATGCCAAAAGAAAATTAGTTAAATGGACACAACCACGAAGAAAATCAGCCCCACATTCTGTCTCACGTCAATCTTCCCGACGGCATTGGAAAATGCCATGAAAATAAAACTGGATATCCTAGCCTGATTCGCATTGTGTTATTATGCGCCAGAAGTTTGAGATTCATGTCAAGCATTAACGAATTGAATAAAGGACTTGGAGCAACAGTGTGCGCCTAGTTTTAATTGAGATGCTTTTCCACTGGTGACTCCCTATTTTGTTTATCACGCTGACCTCTGGGTTGGCATTGTGTTGTTGATTGTAGCAACCATTTAGGCAAATCGTGTGATAGAAGCAGGTTTGTTCTAGCCGTATAATTGTCACCACCATCGATGGGGGAACTGATAGACAGTGGGTGAGATAAAATTTGACGGCGTGCTCTGGCTATGGTTGTCCAGACTTATAACCTTGGTGTGTGGTATCAAACGAAGCTGTGGGGCGGGTAATGTTTCCTTTCAGAAAATAACTTTACCTTCAGCCACGGTTATGTATCCCGCAGTGAATTTATCTGCGAGGTGAACATAAATTGACCGCGCAGACTGAACACGATTCTCAACGGCAACGTATAGCTTAAACGAATCCCGGTGGGGTTTTGACAATTTCACCTAGTATGTGCCGAACGGTGATACTTTTGTTTTACTGTTAGTCTATCGGAATTGAGCCTACCGATAACACGATTCGGTTTGCATCTTTCGTAGAGCATGATATACGTTAACTCTATATAATCAATAACATCTTAAGACATCTTTCACAGAGTTTTGCGGGATGGGTGATACTGATTTGGACTGATCACATCCTTCAAAATTTATCTTTACACACAATCCTCAAGTCATCCAATCAACCGTACACACGAGAAGCACTAAACTGCGGATTCATTCTCAGTAATACATATCCAACGTTCCGTGCGGGATGTGAATTCTGGACATATCGCGCGGAGATCATGTGTTACCACTGTGCTAACCAGCTGATAGTCTACTGGAAGGTTACCACGGGTGTCAATCAGAAGGGGAATCCGTATCGGAAGGCAAGAATCACGTGCACTATAGCATTTATTTAGGGGGAAATGTTTACGTTTGTACGAATATTGACTCGCACCGAGCAACCGGACTTTGATGATGGGTCCAGAAAAAAACAAGACAGTTAATTCTTTCGAAAAACATGGCACGACTGAATCACTTACCGTGGGTTTGTTGTCGAGCTACCCGGACTACCAAGCCAAACGATCGTGGATAACTCCCACTGTTCCGTACCACAAAGGAGCCTGGTGGGTCCGCTCGGAGCAGGTCGATAGCTAGTAGATGTTTAAGAGAACCGGACAAACAAAACGAAACATGAGAATATTGCAAAATAACAAACAAAATTAAATCAACAGTCAAATGAGCTGATCCAAGCTTGTTACCGCAAAATTGATTCAGCCATTCGCACAAGGTGATGCCCGTCGACCGTGTAGCTCACGGGTAAGGGTTTGAAGTCCCAACCCGAATGTTTGCGGTTCGAGTCCTGACAGGGACACAAAAAGTACACACTGCTGACGATTCCCAAACAGGACGGATCAGCAGACCAGTGCTCTTTGTCGGTCATCACAAATATTTCCGTCGCATGTAAATGCATGAAATTGTGGGGAATCAACGATCTCCCCAGGAGTAAAACCCACGCCAAAGAGTGCCTGGTGCTGCCGTAAAACCAGAGTCCACTTTTGACATCTATCCAAAATGTGGTTTTATTGTGTCAATAGGGTCTAATAAGTATCAACCTAGTGGACGAGGCCGCCGCAGCTGGCAGTTTCCAGAACCCAAAGTTTAAGATTTCAATCGTGCCACTACCGCTCACTTTGGTATTAGACAGAGTGTTTGACTTCCATCTCAATACTATACTTATCCTACTGCAGACATGTGTAGAAAAGCACCTCTAATTTCAAGGCTTTGATTGCCGGCTTCCATAAACAAAAGGCACGTTCTTTTCTATATAGGGTTCATACCTTCTACTCTATTTCAAAATAAGCTGAATATAAAAAGGTTCACAAATATCGATCTCTGTGAAACCTTGATCCTTTTTTCTCATCCAACCGAATGGAACAACCTGAATGTTCACAGTGGAAGAAACTGTAGAGAGTAGTACAAAGAAAATTTGAAGAGGAAAGTTGACAAGCACTACAGGATTATTTCAGCGTGATTTAATGATACCGTATGGAGCGCGAGAAATGAATCCACAGGGAATCAAAGCATTCCGATTTTCACAGTACTACTCTGTCGATTGCTGGATTGCTGGGCATTCAAAAGTGTTTTGTAGAGACACGAGGTGTTTTTTAGCATCTATACCAGAACAGTTGGGAGTGGCATAACCGATTTGGTTGAGTCATTTGACTACCCGCTACTTATATTTCGTAATACGGATGAGAACCGATGAATTACATCACGTGATAAAACTAAATGGAACAAAGCAAAAGTATATGTTATCCAGCTACCCGGAGGAATATTTTATCTACTAGCCTCATCCCGCGGAACAAGCAAAGTATACGGAATCTCAGATAAAAAATAATGCTCACATTGTGTTCGAGACATTTCCGGTCGATACCAAATATGAGTAGATGCCGACAATCGATTTAATGCGATCAGCGCAGCCTCGGGAACATGATCTGTTGAAGATGTAAATGGGTTACACCCGTCAGATAAATTGGGTTGGACGAACGGAAACGGGGAAATGGGATACAAAAGTACTGGCAATATGAATGATTATGAATTCACTTTTTCACGCTATTAAATGTACTAGCTGAAAGAAAAAAATAGGTTCATCGACTGTTTATTATTTAAGTAGCCTAAGTGAACGACAAATTTTATCACCAAAGCTCAAAATAATTGATTTTTCTCGCCGCTTCAATGGGGTAAAAGAGTGGAAATTATCCGACGAATGGCAGTATTTTGGGCAATATGAGTGAGTAAACTAATAACTCTTTCATTGACAATCAGCAGAAACTGTCGCAGAACAGATTAAAAAATAATAATAATCATTCCGGTGGGATAAGGTTAACGGTTCTGTTCGTTAGTGCGTATGATTCTAATCATGAACAACCAATACTTGTAGAAAGTCCTGCGGAGTCACAATGATCCCGCGCATTTGATTGATAATTTCAATATTGCAGATATCGCCTGTTAGAAAATTAGATACTTGATTGATGCGTCCAGTTGTAATTATCTAGGTACAGTATTCTATAGAGCCTTGCAACAACGATATCCGGTGCTTATTCAGATGACGGACATCATTGACTGCTAAACGATTTATATTGCATTACACTAGCAAATTTCAAATTGAGAGCTCTTGTGGCTGTAGTATATCATAACTGCACTGCGAGAATCAGAACAGGTTTAGAATGAATAATTTGGTTTCGACATATTACCTAGCAAATCAAACGGAAATGAGTAGAGCCAATGAGTGGCACGAGAATTTTATGATTTTCAGTGTTGGAATTGTACTACCTTGTCGAAGAATCTATTTTGTGGAAGTGATTAATGAATACGCTCCAATATCAATGACTTTGTGCTTCAGGCAAGCATATCGTATGGACGCATGTAGCTGCATGGGGAAACCTGGACAAATGAAAGCTTCTATCATGTCCCCACGCGGTGACGGAATGGCGATTGACTAACAAGTAAAAAACAGTCTGCCCGATAAAAAAACGCATCCCGAGATCATCGGATGTAACCGCGGAGATGCGTCCGAAATACCTATGCACAAATCGTTTTACTTTCTTATGATACGTTTTTATCAAACCCGTCAGATCGAAACAGTATTTTGAATAAACCTATTTGACATAATATCATCCAGGGCATAAATTTATTCTAGGAATCTACGTGACTTCAAACTCGATATCCAGTATCAATTGGTGGGAATTAGGCTGTGGTAATGTACTTGAAACGCTGAAGTCAACAACAGTTGGCGAGCCATGTAGGTAAATTGACCTCAAATGCTTTTACCCGATAACTAAATCACAAAACAAAATTGTCTCGGAGAAATTTTTCTGTGCTATTTTTATTGAATCAGTTTTCCCTTGATCAAACATCTGTTTGATTCACAAAACCAAACGCGAACAAGAAGGCTCACTATTTCATCCATCCGTAATTACTTGAGCAACAGCTTCTTCAAAGATCATAGTTTATCAAATTTCAAGTTCTCCTTCATACGGAAGTCAGATTTAACACGAAAAATACTAGCTTACTATTATGATAAATTGAATTGAAGTCATACGACAAAAATATTCAGAAAAATCACTCCATGATGCATATTCAAGCCCATGTCGATGCTTGCGATTTGAACAGCCTACCTAACGGTCCAAGACCGTGTCCCTCTCCAGGACCTGGAACACCACCCGGACTGTGGAACGTTCGGTTTTGTGATGCCCGACCACCACGAGGATAACCAGCTTCAGCTCTGCCACGAGTTATTCGGTAGGGTCGTCGAACTGGATGTTCATGGGCGGACCAGGCCCCACTCATATGTCCACGACCACTGTAGTCACCCATGAGGCCGGTGTCCGATTGACTTCCCGTGTCCAGACCACCAGGTCCGGAACGACCATATGGTCGAATCGGCGGACTGACAGGTGATCGCAGCAAACGAGCGGATGGGGTTGGGACTGGACTGATACAAGGAGACATATCCACCGGTGGCCGATCTGTTTTGCCCCCCCCCCAACCAAAAAAACAAAGAAATTGCCGTAGAAGCGAAGTGAGAACGGAAGCGCATTGGCGGAAGAAGCGGTTAAAAACACTCAGACCAGGTGTATAACAAGCGGGGAATTTATTGCACTGCACCGCACATACGGAATTAAAAGTATCAAAAAAGAAATCTGGTGACACAGACAAAATGACCAAACAGTTTGGAATATAAAACTTCCAATTAAAATTTAACATCTATGAATAAACGTCAACTACAATACTCCTAAAAAGAGTGCAGAACTTATTTCCGCTTTTGTAAACAATAAAGATTACTCGATTGACATGTCTTAAAAATTAACTTAGAATATTTAAAGAAACTGATTTAGTCTCTTTTAATGAGAAACGCTCTCTGCTTCGCATGTCAACTGACACTTAAACTTTTAAAGTTATAAATTGGATTCATTTCATCACTTTGTTGAACAATTTTTCAAGTTCTCCAGCTTTACAAATGTTTTATTCGATTTTATTGGACTAGAAAATGAAATTAGTTTGTCGTTCAACCGCAACTGTTCTTGACTATATATATATATATATGTATATATATATGGAATCAAATATTGGTGTAATATCGAATAATTCTAGGGGAAACAGACAAAAAGGAACGACTGAAAAATCCACCCAGTAATATCATCATTCGATCAATATCTGCCAACTCCCCAATGCAAGCGACGGTCACCGTTAAGCAGTTCAGAGAAGATAGGCGAAAATAATATGAATTTTCTTATCCTTCCCTTACTTTTCAGTTCTTGATTTCCCTACCGAGAGCTGCATAATGTGGTCTTCAAAACTAATTTTCGGTCTTCAACTATGGAGAATATTCCTAGAGATCACAGAGGACAAGTTAAAAATCGTTGGTTCGGATATGGCATTAAGCTAAATAAACTCAATGTAACAGCTTACCTCCAGGACGGGCATATTGATCTTCGTAACCCCAGGGACGTCTGCAGGCAGATTGAAACGTAGGAATGAGATTATCGATTGTTTATTTCGACTGTTTAGCATGGTTTTCTAATTTTATATTTAGCTGTTTGCTTCTTCACTACTCGTTAGTAGTGCAAATATGGAGACAATATTCAATGGTTACGCAGACCCAATGGAATACCTGACCAGTGGGATTACGGCTACTACTAATTATGTTTACTCGGAATTATGCGCAATAAATATTCACGAATCCCGTTAGGATCCGAGGAGTCCTTGCAGTCCTTTTGGGTCGACCCTCAGTATTGTTGTCTGTTAGTGATTGTCACCAGAGTTTGTGGGATAGTGGTAAATGTCCTGATGCACCTCTTCGAAACTTCTAATCACTCAAACTGATTCGCAGACAAAGTTTCACGAATATCATTGGTTTTTTATCATTAAAGAGATGAAGCTGAAGATAGGTGAGCTTAATATCAGTGATGGATTATGTCAGGAAAGATCAATTGCTGACATAAAGCAATCCGGATTGATAAGTAGGCAAAGAGAAGAAGTTGTTGGATGGATATGCAGTGAACTTCGTCGCTTTCCGTTGACGATCGTTGATTGATCAGATTTGTCTAAGCACTAGCACACGAGTATTACAGTGTGCTAGAATTGTTCTTCGGTCGTTAATGCTATTCATCAAAATAAAACAACTGGGGCTGTTGGGATATTTTTTTAAACATTGCCCGACTGTTTACGCATTGCACGCATTCATCCAATGTCGCGTGATGAGCACAGGCAGGTTGAGCTTATGCGCACAATAATGGCTGATTGTGTTAACTTGAGGAACTCCGACATGACGGACAGGGGAAGTGTGTTTTGTAGATTCCTCATTAAACACCCGTAACGTGACATCCGGGGAAATTATTTCATGTGACATTGACATGTAGTTATTTGATGAACTATTCGGTCTGCTCACGACTATCCGCCATTCATTCGATGTTCTGTTATTTTTTTCTGGGATAGGAGAACAATAGGAGTCACAAACTCCTCCCTTGCGTAGGCGTGCTTTCCTTCTGTCTCTCTCTCTCTCTCAAAAAAAAAGAAAACACGCAATATAAAGACCCTGACTGTGCAAATGAGGCTTGCTGTTCACATCTGATTTCCGTAAAATTTCCGGTTTATTGCACCATCTACTAACAATAAGTAATAATATGAATTGTTTCAAGGAAATCCATTAAAATATTATTCAAAGCTTATTGATTCTCAATGGTCTGTGGCACTAAAGGAAATTTCGTTAGTTTTAGGTACTTACAGCCGTCGAGTCGGAGATATCGCACCACCTACACTGCGTGATGGGATCCCATGTACCGAATGAGGTATAGGAGAACCTGAGTACGTCCTGGCACGGAATGGAGGGCCTGAGCAATTGGAGTGGTGAAAGAATGAGGCAGAAAATGAACTGCTTTATAGTGTATGGAGGACACTACTAATTATTATAATGTTTATCACAGTAATAACTGACATTAATTTAACAGATACTGAATTTCATTAATCGAATTTCCAGCTACTTCTAAATCATTGCAGTACTCCGTTAAACGAAGATAACGAGGATCAATCAGATACGGTTCTGCAAGTGAATTTGCTGTTTTTGGTGTATGCATATTCACAACTGTTTACGCACCGTTTTATATTCATTTCACCAACAGTGTGACTTCCTTTAGCCCTTTTCATTAGTGCAAAAGTGCATACAATGAAGATACAAGAATTTTGTTCGAAATGAATTGAGCTAGTTATTTAAAAGAATAAAAATACCATCAGATGATTAGATACTTGAAGGTATAACTACGCAATGTTACGCAATGTTTACAGTGGACTGCTAAAAGAAGAAAATGTGGTTCAGATTCTCGACAAATGTGATTGACTTACTTGTGTTCCCACTTGGATGAAGTGAGATGTTGACAAGCATTGTGATTCCTTTGCTGTAAATTATCGTTTTGCAATTTTCCCGTGGATTTCAGTCACTGAAGAAGTACTTTTGTCTGTTCATTTGATTTTGATCAATTTAAGTAAAAACTCATGTTATCCATGAAAATATTGAATCAACGAATCCGCAGTGTGGTGCCAGTTAACCCCCTCCCTATAAGTACTCTTCCCCTGTCCCGTCAGCAGCTCCAAACAACACATGCGCATTCTCTTCTCTTCGATACGGTTCCTTTTACGAGCATTTTCAATTCTTGATCGACTAATGGTAATATTTCTGACATTTAGATATCTTCGATAGATCAAAGTTGAAAAATACGCTTTCAGAAGGTGTTCACCAAATCACACGTGATTATTCCGCCGATTGTACTCATTTCATACTGAACAAGGGTGGATTTTCTGTGCCTTTCCCTACTATCTTAGGGCTACTACATGTCAGCGAACCTCTTATTCACTCTCTTCATGCATTAGATAATATAAAACTTGACCGTGATCATTTATGATAATTTATAGGATGACTCTTGATAAAGTTGTCAAGTAGTCTTCATCTCGTTCTTTGATTCTTGGCAAATCCAAATCTCAAGATATGATTTTCGTTCGTAAATATGGTGAACCATACCGGACACTCATAATCAGTTTTCCGCCTCTACTTGTTAACGATTGACAGATACCAGGCTGTTTCAGTGTGAAATATCTGGGAGTGTTTTTATTTGTCCTAATCCACGCATGTCCTTAGAACCTTTTGTGGGGTTATAGGGCTATCATTTTCTCACCTAGACCAAAAATACTTTCTGTACCACATAAGTTAATCCTTAAAATTATGAAAGCTTACGTCATTCTCCAGTGATTACATTGTTAGTCGACGACTTGCCTGGTCTCCTTTGAAGGTTTTTTTCTTAGGAGATGCATGAAGCACTTTTCAAGATGCGGTGGATTTCCTTGAGTGATCTTTGTTACTAGACACACTAATGCCTCCAACAAATGTACTTCCTCGGTACGTACGCGCACTACACAGCCGCGTTTACATCCACCAGACGAGCTAGTTTTAAAGTCTTGCCTTTCCTTGCGTTGTGTTATCGCAAATCCATTCTTTCTTACTTATCGGTTCTACTTGCTGACCATAACAACTGAACTATGTGCACGTTTACTTGCTCAACCAAGTTTAGGTTATGCAGTTTTTAGTTTATAATTTCATTCAAATTTAAATCAGAATATCCGCAACACGATGCAGAAACCTGCGAAACCTGCGAACATCCAGATTACATTGACCTAACTTGATACATCATTTAAACCTGACTAACATCTCAAGTGTACTGTTTCACTGACTAGGGAGCTAATCAGTAATAATTGAAACAAAGCCGTCTGCCTTAAACTGCTTGTTATCAATACGAACGTGGGTCGATTTGGAGTGATTAGAAAGAGGGAAATGGGATTGCTGTGAACGCTACGTGTCTAGTCGTTAGATTAAAAATGGAGAATCGTAATTGTAATGATTTTGTATATGCAGAGTGGCTACCAATAGCAGATAAAAAGCATACCATATACCGTACATTTATCAGTGATCAACACTGTTGTCCCAGTGAAGTGGAAAATAGCCTTTATTTGTTGCTCGAGCAACCGTACAATGGAACATTTGTTGGAAAGATTTAAAGAATTTTACGAAGTTTTAGGATATCCGTTTCATTGCGAACTCAAAAGGAATGACATTTTATCAAGGAAAGTATGATAATCCTTATTTTATCCACACACTTGATTAAAGATGCAATGTTGCTTCCCCTCCTCCTCTACCACCATCATCACAAACACCACCACCACAAACTGTTACTTCTTCTGTGGCGACAACGAAACCCCACCGACAGGGATAAACTACAGCTTTCATGTATTGATTAATTCGTTCTTGCGAGGCAAATTATGTAAGACGCTACTCCAGAGACATTCAAATTGAATCATTATCATTATCCCAAGCAGATTAATTGACCGGGTCCGAGAAGGAGTATCAAATCGTTCACATTCGGTCGAGTGCGCTAATGCGGGCAGAATTGTTTGAATTTTTTTTATTCCATCTGTATGAGTATGGAAAAATAGTCGAATAAATTAAAGCATTATCATATCTTATCCATCAATGGCACAAATGATTGCGATTCGTCTGCACAATCCATTAACACATTGCCGAGTGATAAAATTGGTTCACGTTGGACACAAACAACGCAAAAATCACACTGGATAAAATCATAATCCCGACAAAGAGCTATTTGTCTGCCTCTCCGTCTGTTTCTATCCCACATCATGCAATAAGTCAGTCGACTACACTTGTATGCTGTTATGTGTTTGAGTGCGAGAGAGAGAAAAAATATAATAGTGGACGGTAAATGTCAAACCCGGAGGCCTTGAGTTACAACATTTTTGCGGTTAACAGACTAATGACCTAACGGCAGCATCTTTAAGTCATGGTTTGCACAGTAATCAACTGACCGATTAGCCTTGGATAGATAGGTGGACATCCCTTCATTGTATGAACAATTGCACACAACCAGCAACAATAGCTAAAGAGGTAACTGGTTTTCGCCGGACGAATAAACTCCGTAATAAGAGGCTCCTAACGTCGGTAATGAGCAATGTGAAGTGCATCAGTCAGGTCAGCTTTTAGAGCCTTGCAACACTACAGGTAGCATGTTCCTGAACAAAGACTATAAGTGCATCGTCGAAAACGAAGACGGCTGAATATCACTTGGGATACCGTTTTGTACAATACTTTTAAGCTTATTCATGGATTGACTGAGCAGACGGAAGAGAAGGTCTCCGGTATGCAAGCGAAATGTGGTTGACGTTAAATAAGAACCGTTCCACGGCGATATAGCTCAACTAGAAGAGTAATACTGAATCTCAACTAGGGATCGGGATTGAGATCAGTGAAAACAAACGGAGATAATAATGATCATGACCAGATAAGTTCTGGGGAAACCCCGGAATGTGGCGGGCTATAATCAACCTGGCATCAAGTCAGGCGGATACACCAAACACGACAAGTTCTATATTCAGTAGGCTGACTAACTTCAGTGTTTTGGAAAAACGCAATCTGTTTAGCACCCGAGAATCTGACTGATGAGGATCCGAGTTTTAATATCATTGTGTTTAGTTCCATCCTGGAGTTTGGACACATTTTTCAAATTGCAGAAGATTGTTGAAACCAACGAGAGGAACAGAGCATTCAAGACAAGGGTACGACTAGGGAACGAACTTCATATCTCAAACATCTTAACATAAATCTAAGGCAAATCACGCAAAAAAACTCTTCAACAACGAAGTGGAATCATTTTGGTGTAAATAGTTCTTGTTCAAAATATATGAAGTGTATGTGTGAGACAGAGAGAAGTATTTATAAAAGCTAGGCCAGATTCCGAAAGCTCATTTTCTACCCTTACCTTAAGGAAACAATTGGATTTCAATCACTTATACCATTCTTTGCATTTGACTCACAGTTAATTATGAGTAGTGTGTACGGGATGAGCTCTAATAGGAGTGAAACTCGAGTTTATAGTGCTTCCGACTGGATAGTTGAATCGATGAACTGAGGAATGTGCGCGAAGGTGAAGTCCGAAGGATAATCAGTCAAATCAGACTTATGCCATTGACTGTTTACCAGCCCTATCTTACACTTGAAGAAGATAATGTTTAGATTAGAGTAAATCCTGAAGTGCTGAGCCCTAACTAACGTAAACGTGTTAATTTCGATTTGAAGATACGCCTAAATTACTGACTTTGAAATTTTCTTCACTGCAAATGCAGAATTTGCACTCTTCACATTTATACATGCTCGGGTTTGTTTGTCGAAAAATCGCGTTATCCGTCGTTTTAGTTGATAAAGTTTCATAATGCTACGGTTAAATTATACCGTGCAAGAAATATCGGTCAACAACCGAGAAGAAAAAGTGAAGCTGAATCTACGAAAAAGGGGCTAGTGTAGCGATTGGTAAGTTTAAAAATCCGACTCGTAGTAATTATCTCTCATTCAATGATGTAGCACTTCCGCAACTTTGACCCCGGGGCCTACTCATGATTAAATTCATCTGTGTACTATTATCCACGTCAACTTCTATTGATATATTCTACTCTAGTTTGGGATTTATTTGCCATGCATCTTAGTCAATTAAGTGTGTGTATGTATGTATGTATGTGTGTGTGTGTGTGTGTGTGTGTGTGTGTGTGAAATTCCACCGCAATGTCCCTACAGGCCAGTGCAGTTTTCCTATCCGAGTGACTGATTGTGGGCAATTCTACGTGTCTCGTAAAACGCCACCAGAGCGCGTTGTTTGCCAACTTCTGGCGTCCGGAAGTAAACAATTTATTCGGACAAAACTTTCTGCAGTTTATCCGGAATTGATGATAAAAGAACAAATAACAAACGGACGGACGATAAAACAGACCTGCATAATCTGAACGTCAATATGCGAACACGTTTTAGTCTTATTGCAGTAGTACTCAATAATGAACAATGAAGCGGACTACGACGACAAGAATGATGACATTGATGATGGTGAGGAGGAGGATTGGGATTTTAGTGATACGGGGGATGCTAATGCATACTGGATGGATTTGGGAAAACGAACAAAACTGTGCATACAGTTTATCTAGCCCTCGAATTGGACCAATTCATTTTGCTCAGTTAACATCCCTCGAAGTGTGCGATTTCATTTCACTTCCTCACATACGCCTCACGGATGCGAATTACTGCTCGAGTGTGTTTTAGTCTAGCTGATTTCTTGCTCTTTGTTAGCTTACACACAAAGTACAGATTTTACACCAACAACGCGCGCTTTTCGTTACCTTTACAATGAGCTAGAGAGTTCACGATTAAAACTATCAACCTTAAGGCTAATATATATATATATATATATATATATATAATATGCATGTGGTAAAATTTTCATCACCCACAAGAAAGTTACTATCATAAAAATTGTTCCATTTTGAGTATCTCCCGTTACTGTGAGAAAGATTCACGGGGATTTATGTTATGGTTAAGACGTTTCCGAAATATATCCCAATATCTGAAGATTTGTGGTGTTTTTTTGGTACACTGGATTTTCTTACAGTCTTTGTTTGATGTCACGTACACCATGTTAACTAATGAATTCCGTTCTATCCGGCAGACATTCGACTTCTTCAAACCCAGCTTTCAAAGCTGAAAAACTCGAGTAAAAATATTCATGAAACAAAAGTACAACAACTCACCGTAAGGTAATCGCGTTGGACCAAGATCCGGAGTGGCTGTAGGCGAACGTTCCAGATGTATACGGGGCTGTGGAATGCAAAATTTGAAACAATCGAAATCGCTCCTGATCGAGAGGATTGGAATACAAATCAAGATGAACCGTTTTATTCACACGATGGATTATTTCCAGTTCTTTTGTCGAGAGCAAAACTGCTTAGCAGAGGACGCCACGTTATGAGAGGTTCGTTCTCTGTTTTGAAAAGAGCCAAAGTTCCCCTCTTTGATGGCGGCTGGACAGATATTGTATTTTTTTAATATTACCAGTAAACTGAATTATTTTTTAAGTAATTTCAGCTTAAGCTCCAAAATGAATACACATTTGAGTCGTTGTATTGCCGATATCGATGACAACATGGTCACCCCTCATACTATGTGACTCCCTTTGATGGTACTACGACAAATGGTTCTACAACAACCGGTTACAAATCCAATCCAAATTAAGCGATTTACCTTTTTCCTATTACTCGTATTCCTGAGACATTTGCAAGGTTTTTCAAGGATTTCAGGGAACTGGCGACAAGATTGCAGTCGATATATGTATGTGGTTAATTTCTACGACAATCACCTGTTAGGTGTTTTGCGGACGATGAGATGGTTGTCTTTCTTCACTTCAACTAACATCACGTNCGTGTCAGAAACGTATCGGATTCTAAATTTCATGCCGAGCTCACAGTAAGCACTTATTGTTTCAGCCTGGCAAGCGAAAAAACTAGGGCCTGCTGATAGCTAAAAAATCTACTGCAGCTCGGAGTTTGTCAATCAGTGGGATGTAGAAAAGTTATGTAAAGCGTCTACAATTCATCGAGTCAATCAATATGTTTGTTTAAGTATAAAGTTCTGAGGTCTATCAAAACAACGAATAACTTGCATCGCTTTTGTCGGATTGTCCTGTACAGCTTAACAGGCCCCTGGCTTCGGCCAACTATTTCCTCTTACCTTTTGCGAATTTACATGCCCATTCGTGATTAAAATCTTCAATATTGTTAAACAATTACTGGTATGCAGCAGAAATACGGAACACACTTTCTGCACTGGTTCTGTAGAGTTCGTGAATAAACTGACAGCTACCACTAAAATGTTTTCTTTTTAATATTTTTGTTTCGCAAGCCTAACATTTCACCGGACTGACAGACCCAATGAACTCATCACCCGATCGATAACTTCTTCTTTTCAACCGGACATACCCTATGATCCGTCCAAATGTGTAACTTTTTATCTGTCCGTCAAACGTTCGTCAGATCTACAAGAACTTTCTTTTCGCATTCTATCCAGACGCACTAGAAAACCAGAGTGGAGACCTAACAAAAAACACGTCAATAAAATCCCGAATGGGAATGTTAATTGATATCAGTTGTATGTACTGGGCTGATGTTAGCGTCGCTTCTCAATTTGATTCCTAAACTGCAAGAGGTTTCTGTCCCCGGACTAGGATGAGCGGGCATGGACAGACATATGGACGGCTGACAGTCAATCAATCACGTGCCACCAATACAAATAAATATAAAACAGCTCAGTACAGTCTTTCGTTCATCATGTAGATATGCGCTCTATCTGTTGTAAGCCAGAATTATTTCAAGACAGGGAAGTGACCTGAAGGAAATTCAGTATAGTTATTTACACTGAAGATCAGATTTGAGCAATCAGATTTGAGCCTTACTAACCTCGGTTGCGTAAGCAGTTCAAAGCTAGGTTTGCTACAATCATTAGCAGCATCTAATTCGATCTGTCTGACCGAGCGGTAAGGCCATTCGTAAATTCCATTCGTGAAACCTGAAATCCAATACCACGCAGAAAGTCTTTCACTCCACACCGCCCCACAGGTGTGTGCTGCTGGTCCTATAGTGATTGAGTTATCGTTTATTGATTTTGCAAACATATGCCGAGGAGGATTAGTTCTTTTTTATCCTCCATGTTAATAGAAACTGACCACGTTCAACGATCTCATGATATACGGATACCTGGTTAACCACTGAGTTAATAAGTTCCAATTCCCAACATCGAATAAAGTTAGGTAACTTGTATTACATGGCATAGAAATAACTGAACTACTCTTTAGATGTTTGCTCGATCAAGTAATTCTTCTTCTTGTATTCCCTATGTAGATTTAATCACACTTTAGTGATTTGCATATTAATATTAATTTTCGAAGGAACCAGTCTCTAAGAATTATTATAATGGTCCTTTGGTAAAGAGTATAACAAAATAAGCTTTGTTGTCGACACCATTGAGGCTAGAGATGTCTAACCCAGAAAAGTTTTCTGCGAACCGATCGAAAAGATTCCTCCGGAGTTGGAAATCACTTTCGTAGTTACCAAAGCGACTGCTGCGACGAAAAGCACGCACAGATTTGGCGCATCATTAGATTCTTCGCAATCGTGGTTTTGTGATAATAATTTGTCAGAAACGAGAGGGCGAAATCTTTTCGCGCATTTTCGACACATTAATTATGGTCTACAGTAATCACATTTAGTCGGAAATTCACGAATCATTTAATCAGTCCCATCCTTGACCCTCAATAGTTTACGTAAAACAAAAATGGCATCTCTAAGCACACACCTTGACCATATACACCGACGAAAACACACAAAAATCTGCATCCATATGTCGACAAATGCATTCGTCGTCCAACATAGAGAATGCCTACATCAATCATGACTAGCCTGAAAAGTTGTCCCCTATTCATCATCTCAGTGTCTGGACCGCATCTAAGCACAAGTTCAGTGAGAAGCACGAACCAGCTGATACCAGAGTGGTGGAGTGCCCGTGGATATTTTTTATTTGAACTGCAGATGACACTGAATTGATCACACACACACACACACACACACACACACACACACACACACACGTTAAACTAACCCAACTTCGTACGCAGCCGTGTGGGAGGCGTTTATCTGAATGCGTTTCGCGCCATATTGTATCTGTAGCATGACAATAAAATTTTAGTCGAATGAAACGGAATCAAACTGAAAAATATGAATTGAACCAAAAAGTACCGCGCGAGAACGGAGCTGATCGTTGACAAACAATTTGCATGCAAGCTGGTGTTTTATCATACTTAGCTGATTTGACATCGGTATTCGGGTGTTCCCGGGGGACAGTGTGTGTGTGTGCCAATAGGGGCAAAAACAGAGCTGTTGGTGATGAGGATTTGGTGGTAGAAGGGACTGTTGAGGCAGACTGGTTGGTGCTGATCAAGAATAAGCGGTACACAGCTCTTCAAGTTCACAGTCCACTTTGACGATGGTGGCGTCTATTAGGTATGAGGGTGTGTGTGTGTGTGCACGCCGGTTTCATGGCGAAGAAGGTGTACAGGGGAGAAGAGGGTGATATCAGAAAATGTTTGGTTCCGGTGTCTGGCGCACTTGTCAAACAAACTGACACAAATGACAATCTACGCGAGCAGATGAGTTTCACCGATATAACGAAGCTCCACCAGAATAGCTATGCACGCAAACAATTACACAACACTCGAGATGTCATGTTTTATCCACGACCGAACTGAATCTGACTGAAAACGTCTGTAGGATGGTTCGAATTTCTATCTTCTTGCAAAATGAAGTCATTTTCGAACCACATGGACACACCTAACATTGTTGAAATTCAAATAAGAATGAAAATTCGAAAACAGATGTTGACAATAAAAACGCTATATATTATATATATATATATATATAATATATATATATATATACATGTGTGTGTGTGAAAATCGCTGACCAAACCATCACATGCGTATTGGCTTTAAAATTTCGAATCGATGTAAAGTTAAGCACATGAATTAACAGTTTTAAAAAGAATTCCGGCTGCTGAAAATGGGGACTGAGTTGACACCATTTCGGGTTTGTAGCATTGCCCCTTGACTAGTTTTGAATATTATTGTGCGCATGTTTTTTACACACACGCACACATTCACAGCATCGAACGAGACTCGGTTTGACATCTGATTCGCTCTCTTGCCAGCCGGGACGATGATAAGCTCTTACTCTCTAACACACACACACGTACCTAAGTAATTCCACAAACCGACACTCGCTTGTCCAGACTAAGTTACTCCAATCTTAGTCACGCATCCTACTACCGGCTTACTAGTTTGTGTCACGTGTTACTCACTTCACTAAGCGGGATAAATCACGTGCTACTGGTGTCATAAAGTCGATATTTTTCCTAGCCAGACATGTACATGAAATCCCCAAATGACGTTGTACGTTTCGCGCATTTACAAACGATTTGCCATTTGTATTACCATTGCAGCTTCTACAGTTTTTGTCACCAAATTACTGAATTCTCTTTTGTCTGGACACAATTAATCTATTTACTAGACACAGCCCCTTGTACATAAGCATCACAATGGTGAACGTAACGTGAATCGAGAGCTGAGTTTAAGTGCATACCTATGATCCTATGAGGGGAAACAAACCTATTTTCAGTAATATGACCGTTTAACTGTGTAACTACCAAAACTCAATCGTCCTCTGGAAATGCGATTTGTCATC